CTGTACCACTCTAGGTAGTAGTCTGAATGATGGAAAAGCGTAAAGGAGGTCCTCCTCCCATGGCTGGGCTAGAGCATCCATTCCTGCACTTTGAGGGTCTCTTTGAAGGCAGAAGTACTTCCCTAGTTTTGAGTACCTTCTGTTGGCGAAGAGCCCCATCTGCTGCAGATTTGGGCGAATGCTGTGTGGCTGAGGCACCATTCTAACTGGTTGATTTCCTCTCGGCTCAGCTGGTCCACTAAACAAGTTTAGGTCTCCCTTCAGATGGACTGCCATGATTGATTTTAATTTCTTTTTCTGCTCAGCTCAGGAGGGTTTCCATCAATTCCATTAGTTTTTGGGACCTTGTACCCCCTTGCCTGTTTAAGTATGCGACAGCCGTTATGTTGTCCAACAGGATATGAACCTGTTTCCCTTCTATTTTTTCCTGAAAGGCCGTAAGCACTTTGAAAGCTGCCAGTAACTCCCTGAAGTTTAACGACCTTTTTGCGGTTTCTGGGTCCCACTTGCCCTGGGTCAGGCAGCCCTCCATGTGTGCGCCCCACCCCCGCAAGCTTGCATCTGTAGCGATTTTTGTTGGGTTGGATTGGTTCCACCTTCTCCCGGATCCCAGCATGTGAATGTTTCCCCACCACTCCAACGACTCTCTCACTTTGCACGTGAGGCAAATGCTGGAATCCAGAGATGCTTGGCTGCCGTCCCAGTGGGAGAGGATGTGATTTTGTATCGTTCTGGAGTGTATTTGTGCCCATTGTACCCTCAGTATGGCTGTGGTCATGCGGCCGACGAGCTTCATGGAGTTTCTGATTGTGCAAACTGGCGTCCCCCGGAGGCTCCTCGTGTCTTGTAGTCTTGAGTGCTTTTTCTGGTGTTAAGTATAAGCAGGTGCTTGTGGAATCCAGAATGTATCCCAAATATGTGAAGCTGTTGGAGGGGACTAACTGTGATTTATCTGTATTTATTAGCCATCCTAGGTTTTTTTAAGAAGGATATTGTATGCTCCACATGGCATTTCAGAGATTTTTCTGTGTCCGCAAACAAGAGTAGGTCGTCCAAGTAGGGGATAACGTTTATCCCTTCTAGACTCAAGGCTTGCAGAGGTTCCACTAGAATTTTTGTAAATATCCTTGGTGCAGAAGACAGACCAAAGGGAACAAGATCGTTCTGTTCCTGCCCTTTAGCGCGAACCTTAGGAACTTCCTTGACTCTTCCCTTATCGGGATGTGAAGGTATGCGTCTATTGATGCCATGAATACTCCGGGAGAGAGAATTTCTTTTGTCGTGTAGATTGTCTCCATGCGAAATTTTTGGAGTTTTACGAATTCGTTCAATTTCTTTAGGTTGAGTATCATTCTGTATTTCCCAGACGTCTTCCTTCTTAAAAATGGGAGCAGAATCCCCTTCCCTTTTCTTCTTCCTCCAACTGACTGACTATGTTCTGTTGGAGCATTTTTTCCAGAAGGTTCACAAGTGCGTCCACCTTGCTCTCCTCCCTTGGCAGTGGATTCACAAGGAACCTGTAAGAGGGGGGAGTTGTGAAAATTCTATCCTGTAGCCGTTTCGAATTGTATCTAGGATAAATGCATTCTGGGTAGTCGGTAGCCATTGCGTGTGAAAGTGTCCCAGCCTTCCTCCCACCTGGCTCCGCCAGTCATTTGGACTGAGTTTTTGTTTTGTCCTGGTTGGGGTTGAAGAGAAAACCTCACTTCTCCCTTCGTCTTTTTGAGACACAGCCTTTCTTCTGGCCCTGAAATCTGGCTTCTCATTGTGTGCTGCCTGTTGGGACAAAAAAAATTTCCATCCCGCTTGCCTGCTGGGAACTGTTGCTTTTTGTCGGCAGACCTCTCAAGGACCGAAGTCAGTTCTGGCCCGAAGAGGAGATTTCCCTCAAAAGGGCAGTCTGCAGAGTCTGGATTTGGAAGCGATGTCCTCCTGCCAGGATTTCAACCAAATGGCTCTTCAGGCTTAGTTTATGAACGCAGTTGATCTTGCTATGTATTTGATGGTTTCAACTGATGCGTTTGCAATAAAGGCCACGGCTTTTTCCAAAACCGGTAGGGATTTAAGAATTTCCTTTGTCGGTGTGCCTTGTTCAAGGTGAGATCGGAGCTGGCCCAACCATATGTCTTGGGTCCTGGAAACGCAGGTTGTTGCTATTGCTAGTTTAAAAGTTTACTGCGGACGCTTCCCACGCTCTTCTGAGGAATGTGTTGACCTTGCGGTCCATTGGGTCCTTTAGGGAGCCCCCATTTTCAAAGGATAAATCCGTGGATTTCAAAATTTTTGAGAGGGGAGCATCTGGTTTTGGGCAAGACTCCCACACAGACGCATCTTCCTTCATAAATAGACATCGCCTTTTAAGATTTGTAGGAAAAAAAGGCTTTCCATTCCGGCTCTTCCCATTCCCCATAGGGTGGAATGGGCCGGGAACGTGCCCTGCATAAAGCTGGTCGTGCAGAGAGAGATCCCGTTGTTCCTCTTCTAGATCTAGAGTGTCATTGATTACTTTCAAGAGGCGTTCTGTGTCTTCTACTGGAAAAAGGAACCTTTGTGACTTGTGATCCTGTTCTTCTGTCATGCCTTCCTCAGATTCGGAAAGTTCCTCTTCTCGGTCTGCGTCAGTGCCCGTGTCCTGTTTTCTCTTCTTGATTGGTGGGGAAATGCCGGAGGTGCCAGGTTGAGGGCTGTCTGGGGTCGGTTCCTGCATGTTCCCTAAAGTTTTGAAAGGTTTTGGACATCTGCTGAGTCATGTTTCATAGGAAATCTCTGAAGAGGGACCCTGACTTTTTTGATCCGCTTATTGATGCATTCCTGGCACAGCTGCTTTTTCCAAGCGTCCCCACAACATGATGTCACCACCATGTTTCACGGTTCATTTTGGTCTCATCTGACCAGAACACCTTCTTCCACATGTTTGCTGTGTCCCCCACATGGCTTCTCAAACTGCAAAACGTGACTTAGCTTTCTTTCAACAATGGTTTTCTTCTTTCCACTATTCCATAAAGGCCAGATTTGTTGAGAGCACGACTAATAGTCGTCCTGTGGACAGATTCTCCCACCTGAGCTGTGGATCTCTGCAGCTCCTCCAGAGTTACCATGCTTCTCTGACTAATGCTCTTCTTGCCCGGTCTGACAGTTTAGGTGGACGGCCATGTCTTGGTAGGTTTGCAGTTGTGCAATACTCTTTCCATTTTCGGATGATGGATGGAACGGTGCTCCGTGAGATGTTCAAAGCTTGGGATATTTTTTTTTTTTATAACCTAACCCTGCTTTAAACTTCTCCACGTTATCCCTGACCTGTCTGGTGTGTTCCTTGGCCTTCATGGTGCGGTTTGATCAATAACAAACCTCTGAGGGCTTCACAGAACAGCTGTAGTTACACTGAGATTAAAATTACACACAGGTGGACTCTATTTACTAATTAGGTGACTTCTGAAAGCAATTGGTTCCACTAGATTTTAGTTAGGGGTAGAAGAGTAAAGGGGGCTGAATACAAATGCAAGCCACACTTTTCAGATATTTGTAAAAAAAAATTGAAAATAATTTATCATTTCCTTCCACTTCACAATTATGTGCCACATTGTGTTGGTCTATCACATAAAATACAGACGTTTTTGGTTATAACATGACAAAATGTGGAAAATTTCATGGGGTATGAATACTTTTTCAAGGCACTGTACATCACCAATCTTTTCTCCATATATTACCCAAACTGTCCTCTCTGTTCATTTCATGACCTCCAGCTCTCAAGTGCCCTTGTCTCCTCCTCCCATGCTGGTCTCCAGGTCTTTCCCATCCTCTGGAACTTTCTACCTCAATCTGTCTATCCCCTACTCTGGGTGCCTTTAGGTGATCCCTGAAAACCCATCTCTTCAGGGAAGCCTATCACGGCTTCCAATAGACATTTATCACTTCCATCAGCTAATCCCCCAAAGTTATAACCTTTTGTTCTACTTGCCCCACCCCATTAAAATTTCAAGCTCTCTTAATCCTGTTTTGATTGTATTGTAGCTGTACTGTCTCCTTTTATATTGTAAAGCGCTGCTCAAACTGTTGGTGCCATATAAATCCTGTATAATAATAATCTCAGTTTACCCAGCCATGAATGGCAACAGATATACTCTTGCCTGAAGGACACTCCTTCTAATGCATTTCACCCAAGAGAGTAATCCTAGAGATAGCAAATCTCTATAAATAAGCCCTTCTGGGTGAAATGCATTGGGGAGGAGCTGGCTTCAGTGAGGATGTCTGTTGCTGCTCCTGGCTGAATAATCTGAGATGATAGTGATTTCATTGGAGTATAGCCTTTTTGTGTGCATTAGGTAAATCAGTTTTGTCTGTAGGCACTGTTTGAATGAAGATCTAATGTTTGCCTGTTCAAATATGTTGAAAATGTTAACACTTTCCCTGGGGTATACTTACTCTTTAACATGATTGTACTAATATTCACTTTGCAAAGAGGGACCTTTACGTTGCTAGTGAACAAGCACTTCTTTTGTAAATCAACACCGCTTTATTTATAGCCTACTCCTGCATATAAAGCAGCATACAAACCTTTTTCTGGCCAGGCACATGCAACAGCAAGCTCATTCATTGGCTGAGTTTGGACTTCAGTACTACAGAGAACAAATATACACATTATAATTACAGCATTGTACTATAAAGCTGGGTCTACATGTATCGAAATTCAGCGGGAAACGGCTGAATTTTGATCCATGTGTAGCCATGTTAGACCAGCTACTGTCAAATGGCATTTGATCAACAGCTACAGCACAGATATCTGTATCATGACTGGGGGGTGGGGGGGGGGTGTAGTGTGCACTATCAGAATACAATAGTGCAGCGAGAGATCCCTGCATCCACATTGCTTGCGTGGATGTGGGATTTTGGGAGATTTTTTTTTTTTTTTTTTTTTTTCGCAAAACCTGCTGTTTGAACGAAAAAAAAAAAGAAAAAACTCTGCATGTATACCCATCTTAAGACCAGGAGGACATGATCACTCACTTCCAGAGGGCGTGTCTATGAAATATTTGGCTCTCAAAGGGGGGTTGAGAGACAATGGGCTCGAGACTGCACACTATAAAAAGATACTCTTGTTTAGGTCTGGCTTTGTCCTTTAGGGCAAGCTTGGACTGTTTCCCCATTTCCTTCTCATACTCTTTAAAGTCATCTTTTGTGTACTTTCCCCCTGGAAAAAAAAATAAAAATAAAAGACACACAACACATTTGTATCCAATGTTCTACAATTCATAAAGCCTAGCAAACACAGATATTCATCTGGGATTTTTATAAAGCAATACACTGAATTTTTAAAAGCTTTTTCTAGTGACTCATGATGGATTGAAAGAAACCTATCCTTGCTCGTTTTTGGAACAATGTGGTAAAAAAGGAAATTTGTTACTGAAGAGACTTTAAAAAAATGAGGGGAATATTATTGCTTTGCATAACCTCCTTCTCATTGACATGGGGTATTAAACTTAGTGGCCTTTAAAAAACACTTCACAGTCTACACCAATTTTCTACCAGGCTGAAAACTGAAGTCTCCGTGCAGATTCCTCCCAAAAAAAAATAAAAAAAAAAAAAATATATATATATAAATATAATATAAATAAATATATATATATATATATATATATATATATATATATATATATATACACAGCTGCAAGAAAAAGTATGTGAACCCCTTGGGATTACGTGGAGTTTTGCATGAATTGGGCATAAAATGTGCTCTGAACGTCATCTAAGTCACAGCAATAGAAGAACACAGTCTGCTGAACATAATACTACACAAACATTAGATGTTGCCATGGTTTAATTGCACATAACATGTAAACATTCACAGTGCAGGGAGTAAAAAGTATGTGAGGCCCTAGCTTAATGACTTCTCCCAGAGCTAATTGGAGCCAAGAGTGAGCCAACCTTGACTCCAATCAGTGTAATAACATTGGATGTGTTGCTGACAGCTGTCCTGCCCTTAAACACACACCTGTTTTGGGGTTTACTGGTTTCAAGAAGCACTGTCTGGTGTGAACCATGCCTCGCAGAAAAGAGCTCTCAGAAGATCTACGATCAAGAATTGTTGACTTGCATGAAGCTGGAAAGGGTTACAAAAGTATCTCCAAAAGCCTTGATGTTCATGTGTCCACGGTAAGACAGACTGTCTACAAATGGAGAAAGTTTAGCACTGTTGCTACTCTCCCTAGGCGTGGTCGTCCTGTAAAAATGACTGCAAGAGCACAGCGCAGAATGCTGCATGAGGTAAAGAAGAATCCCAGAGTGTCAGCTAAAGACCTACAGAAATCTCTGGCACATGCTAACATTTTTGTTGACACATCTACAATAAGGAAAACATTAAACAAGAATGGAGTACATGGGAGGACGCCAAGGAGGAAGCCATTGCTGTCCAAAAAGAATATTGCAGCACGTTTGAAGTTTGCAAAAGAGCACCTGGATGTTCCACAGCACTACTGGCAAAATATACTGTGGACAGATAAAACCAAGATTGAGTTGTTTGGGAAGAACACACAACACTATGTGTGGAGAAAAAAAAGGCACAGCACACCAACATCAAAACCTCATCCCCACTGTAAAACATGGCGGAGGGAGCATCATGGTTTGGGGCTGCTTTACTGCCCCAGGGCCTGGACGGATTGTTGTCATTGATGGGAAAATGAATTCCAGAGTTTATCAAGACATTTTGCAGGAAAACGTACAACCATCTGTCCGC